GCTGTTTCATGCTGGTTTGCATATTCTCTAAATATTTCAATCAATTCTCTATTAATCTTACACTTTGAAATTTTTCCCATTAGAGGTTTTCATGTCACTTGTAGTTAGATACTCTTTCCTGTCAAAACCCAAATCTTTATCCTCTAGGAATTGACATGGGAATAAACCTGTTCAAGGGAGTTTACTTCACTTGAATCTGTTCCAAATACTCTAACAAATGGATCTATTAAAAATAGTGATGATGCAAAAACATCGTAGACTGGATTTGCATCTATAAATCCTGTTAGAATGACCCAGGGGGTTTCTGAACACTCAAATTCTGCCCCAGTTTGAAGTATGTGTTAATCTGATATAATATCCTGTGCTTTCTTCTTATGTCATCATTTTTAGGAGTTGGTAGAATAACTCAGGTTATTAGAGTGAATTTAAAGGTTATGGGAACATGTTTTTATTGTGGAAGAAACAGACTTTAGGAAAATGTCACTTGAATGACTGAAGGACTGAACAGTTCTTCTACTTGTGAGAAGACTTCCATTGTGGCTGTATGAAAAATTGAATGACAACATTTTCTTCTTAGGTATAGGACTTGTCAATCAGGTACATGAACATCACTGGAAACCCTGAAAGCAAAGGATTTTTGGATTATTTTGCAACAAGGATTCAAAGGACAAATATAATCACACAGCCTACTTTTATGTTGTGAATTTTTTTCTTTAAGTGATCATCCAATGATGCATTTAGTCACGGAACTTTTCACTAATTTCAACCTTTTACACAACTGAACACACAGCAGTTTTCTTTTCTCATGATGTTTCCTAGCAGGTAAAAATTGTAAACTACTTTGTGCTATAAATACTAACATTGTATTTAAATATCTGTATGTGTCTATAAATGTCAGGAAGTTGTATGTCAGTCTTTGCTTTGTTAGGTGCAGAATTTAATATGTGGGCAAATTAACAATGTCTGCCAATAAAGTATTTTCTTTTTTTCATCATATTTGAGAAAATTCTGTAAAGTTAATTTTAGTATTATTAAAAGTTTTATTTATTCTACCAAATAATGGGCTTGGCCAGGTTGATTTCCTCTGGATAGATCAAATTTACAAAGTCATGGAAAGTGTAGAATGTTAGTTTTTCCCTCAAGAAATTCTTCCAGCAGGTGAGAATATTCTACTATTTCTATATGGTAAATGTTTTAATTTGAATGTCTTCATATCTTAGGCATCTTCTTTTTACAATTTAAGATTTTATTGAGAAGTGCAGGTAATGAGAATAGTATTTTGATGTATGGAAGGTATAACCACTTGGAACTATTTCTAGATGCGCAGATCAGCCTCACATTTTTACATGTTTTCTATCACATGGAGTTACATGACACATCTACAGTTATCCTCAGTGTAAAAAGCCTTGATTTGTCAAACTCAGGACAAGACACAAGATGTGAGCTTATAAAAAAAACTGACAATACATACACTAGTTGGAAATTCCTGGGACATACTGAAGTGCAAGAACATCTTATATTCTCATTGTAGTTATCTGAATTGGACTAATAAAACTCACAAAACATAAACATTAATTAGAGCCATGATAAGTACATTTTGTGTTAGTACAAAAATGGCAAGTGATTCATATTACATGCGTAACAGATAAAATAATAAAGTTTTACCTAAATTCATAGCATATTATGTTTCATAATATGGTAACAAAGAAGTATAATTTATTTTAGATATATATATGAATTAGAAACATAAAATTATGTACCAGATGAAGTATGCTAGAAAATAATTGAATAATGGAATAAATATCTAAGTTCTGCATGATTATGTAGGTTTTTATTGGTGAATCTTAAAGATGTTTCAGAAAATATATTAGTACATGTGAATAGAGACACCCACACTCAAGGAAATAATTCATCTACTGTCATTTAGAGAGTTTTAAAAGTCTTCTATTGTTAAATACCATATACAGTTTTCTTGTTACTATTAGTATGCTTTGACTAAATTACAACTTATCTTAACAACCTATGATATATTTTTCTAGAAAAATTTTAAAAGTTCAATTTGAGAAATGAATCATACAATACCTTTCAGTTTTTTGACCACATGCACTTTAGACTAGTGTATACTTTATATATCTTATTTTTTAACATGTCGATGATTTAACTGGCTAATAGCTATAGACTAGTAAAATTTACACTGACAGTTAAGGAGGGAAAGTTTTTAGAAAATAAAAGTATTATACAAACCCTTTTTACTCTTTAACAGGCATAGATTTTTGTCCGTAGGTTGAACCACTGTGGCACATCTCCTGAGGGGGGAGAAGTTCTGCAAAAGAGACATGTGAAAGGTTCCTCACAGCTGGCTTCTGAAGGCAGATCAGATTCTTCCTGCTCATGTCTTCTCCCCCTACCAAGTCCATGTGCATGGAATTCTCTTGCTTCTAACCATAATACATCCAGGTAAATAGTGTTAGTACTTACATACAATAAAATAGATTTCTAAGACATGCAATTTTAATTTATATTCAAAAAAAGATTCATAGTTATAAATATACTATTCTTTATATTCTGGACTATTTGTATAATTCTGATTAAATTTGCACAAATTAATGCTTATAGTGGAACATTGAAAAACAAGAATAATAAAGTTTTAGATTTTATCAGATGTCCTATTCTATAGTGTTCTAAACATGTAATAAAAAATAACCTTAAGAGGTAGATGATGCAGGTATCTCCACATTAACATGGTGGAATGGGGATTTAGGAGTGTTCATTACTTTGGCAAATGTCACATAGACAGTAAATGAACTAAGCTAAGATAGTAAGACAAGCATCACAGCCCAGCAGCCACTGTGCTCAGGATTGTGCTATACTCTCTCCAAGGATATCTTGGATCTTGCTTAGGTGGACACTGAATGGAAATCAGAGTATTATTTGTCATTTGCTACAGGCTGGCAGTTTAGAAGTAATAGTAATAAACTTTCAAAATACCATTTACTTTTAAAATGTGAAAAAAGTCAAATGTCCAGAGTAAGAATTGATAGGTCTGCAATAAGAGCATTGTACATAGTTGGAGTGGAAACAATTATGACCTCATCTAACTCAAAGTCTTCATTTTTTGATCTGCTCTAAAATACTTGTTGTTATGTTTAGAAATTCATTCACACCTGTGCCTTTTGGTGGTATGGATGAATCACTGTTTTTGAGTAGACTGTTTTTGGAATCTGCACATTGAAATTCTGTGTTAAGCATTTAAGTGCATAGGAAGTCTTCTATCTAGCACCATGTTGCACTATTCTCTACCTCATTTTTTATGTTCTATTTTTATCATTTTTTAGTACCTGGCTTATACTGAGTCCTTACAGTGTATAATAATTTTGTCATTTCTAGTCATGAGTTACTTCAGTTAAGTTAAATATGATTGCTGAAAATCAGGATAGAGAATGACAATTTGCTGGGAACTTGATGCCAGCAAAAATTAGATGGACAAGATTATAGGTATAGAAAGTTAAAAAGTCAGATTTAAATAAATCACTAGAGACATTAATGGACTAAATAATTTGGCAGTTATTTGACACATTTCAAATCTTATTACCTGGAGATTTATCAAGATATTTAAAATATTGAAACTTCTTTGATGTGTGAAAGACTGATCATCACATGTGAAGTATGATGCAATAGTATTCAGGTGACTATCCCAAAAGAGGAAGTATCTTTACTGTGGCACAGATCATATGGTGAACTTATTCCACACAAATATTATAAACTAAAATGACTGAGTGTATGTGATCTTATAATCTAGAATTTATTATCACCACTAAAGAGAATATTTTGGGACATCAGAAACACTATCCAAGTTCATTGCTGCTGATTTCTATATCAAGACATGACATATTTACAACGAAGAGTTAATATGCAAAGGTGATGAAGTTTTTTACTATTCTTCTCCATAGAGATTTCTTTTTCATCCTTATCATCACTTGATAAGTTTATATATCTAATCCCATGGAAAGGTTGTTGAAATTACAGTTAGTTTATTTTACTATACCATTTCCAGCACAACCCATGGTGAGAATAAAAACACTACAGCATATTTATAATTATGGGTGGTGAAGGGGGCCTAAGTCTGACCATCATGAAATTTCATCAGAACAAAGACCTCAAGCCAGGGCTCAAAGCTGGATTTTATTAATTTGTGAAGAAAGGAGTGACTAGAGGATGAGTGACTATGTCAATAGCAGTAATTACATGAGTACTATGAGTGGGGCTAGCTAGGAGGTCAGAAAGCACCTCTCTAGTATGCAGAAAGAAGGATATGGAGAAAATCAATTTATGTAACACAATGAGGTAGTAGTTAGTGTCTTGTAGGATGGTATTTTAGGTTTGTTGTGCCTGGGAAGCCATAACCTTTTATCTCAAGGCTTGAATTGAGTCAACAGCCATGGAATAACAGTTCTGCCATACATCCCGGCTCAACCATGTTTAGGAAGACACTGGGGTGAGGAAACAGTGACTGTTTCCTAGCTTCAAAGATTATGCATAAGAACTTCAGTTAGCCCTATTGACACTGCATAGAGCCAACTGAAGGGAAAGGGAAATAGCTTAGCCAGCTCTGTACACATCAGTATATGGAGATAGGGCCAGGTTTAGCCAAAGTGGAGGTAATTGCTGCTTATTTAAGGAGACTTCTCCAGGTTGTCCTCAACAATTCCCTATAGTCTATCATTTATGACAGAGGAAGAACTAATAACAGAACAACAGGCTCCCCTCTCAAAAATAATCACCAGAGGAGACACAGAATTACCAGGAAAGCATTTCATGGTTTTTTGATACAGGAATTCAAAACAATTTACTGAAGGTCCTCTATCTATTCACTACTGTATAACACATAATGATGAAGGCATACTGTATGATAGAATGGATTAATAACTCTATTCATGTTTTCCTGGCAGGTCATATGCTCCTGTACTCTCAACTCTGACACAATCCTTCTAGAAGCCTAAATGGCACATAGTAACAATGTCACAGAATTTATCCTCCTGGGCCTTTCTCAGGATCCCAATGTCCAAAGGGCATTATTTGTCTTGTTTTTACTCATCTACACTGTGACAGTGCTGGGCAACCTGCTCATCATGGTCACTGTCCTTGCCAGCCCCTCCTTGGGATCTCCAATGTACTTTTTCCTTGCCTATCTATCAATCATGGATGCTGTTTATTCCACAGCCATTTCACCCAAGTTGCTTATAGATCTGCTCAGTGACAGAAAGACCATCTCCTTCCCAGCCTGCATGGGCCAACTCTTTGTAGAGCACCTATTTGGTGGTGCTGAGGTCTTCCTTCTGGTAGTGATGGCCTTTGACCGCTATGTGGCCATCTGTAAGCCTCTACACTATTTAACCATCCTGAATCAGCGGGTTTGCATCCTTCTGCTGATGGTAACCTGGACTGGAGGTTTTGTACACTCAGCAGTTCAACTTGTGTTTGTGTCTAGTCTCCCTTTCTGTGGTCCCAATGTCATTGATCATTTCATCTGTGACATGTACCCATTGCTGGAGCTTGCATGCACAGACACCTACTTTATTGGCCTCACTGTGATTGCTAATGGTGGAGCCATCTGCATGGTGGTATTTACCCTTCTGCTTATCTCCTATGGCTTCATCCTAAATTCCCTTAAAACTCACAGCCAGGAAGGACGGAAAAAGGCCTTTTCTACCTGCAGCTCCCACATCACTGTGGTTGTGCTCTTTTTTGTTCCCTGTATTTTTGTTTATGTTAGACCTGTTTCTACCTTTCCCATTGATAAATCTGTAAGTGTGGTTTTCACAGTTATTACTCCCATGCTGAATCCTTTAATATATACTCTGAGAAATTCAGAAATGAAAAGTGCTATGAGTAAACTCTGGTGTATAACATTAAATACAGATCAAATATAAATATGTATGTCTCACACCAAGCGTATTTGCTACTAATTCCACAAACAGTCCATCCATATACCTAGAAATGTCTCAGGTTTTTAAAATTAATGACAGAGTAGTACCCCATTACTACATTGTATTAAAAAACACATTTTTATGTCCATTCATTGTCTGATGGACAATTGCATTTTCCCCAAGATTTAGCTATTTCAAACTGTGCCACTATTTACATGGGTGTGTACATATCACTGTGCTATGATACTTTTTATTGTTTTGGGAAGATATCCACAAGGGGCATAGCTATGTCAAAAAGGACTTCAGGCCCTAGATTTTTGAGGAATCTCCACACTGATTTCCACTGTAGTTGTGCCAGCAGCAGAGCAGAGTTTTCCCCACAGCCCCACCAACATTTGTTATTCATTGATTTCTTGATAATTTACATTCCTCCTGGAGTGAGATGAAGTCTCAGCATAATTTTAATTTACATATTTCAAATGACTGGTGATGTTGAAAATTTCTTATGTATTTATTTTCCACTTGTATTTATTCATCTAGAAGTGTGAATTCATCTCATATACCCATTTTTGGATTGAATCATTAAATCTGAGTTGTCTGGTTTTTTTCAGTTCTTTATATGTTCTAGATAGTCTTGTCTCAGAAACAACTGGCAAATTTTCTTTCCAAATTTGAGTTATCTTTGCAATCTCTTCATGGTTTCTTTTGCCCACAAAAGTTTTTCAATGAGATGAGATCCCAGCTGTTGATTCTTATGTAATAATTTTTCAGTGCCCAATGTTTTGTTCATGAAGTCTTACCCTATATTAATGTTTTCAAGAGTTCTACCTATTCTCTCTCCCAGCTAAGTTAGTGTTTCTATTTTAATATTAAGATCTTCAATGCATTTTTATTTTAGTTTAGGGTATCATGACAGACATAGCCCTAGTTTTAGAATTTGGCATGTGGAAAGAGGTTTTTCCAGCACCATTTATCAAAGAGGCTTTCTTTCAGTGAGTGTATTTGGCTGCTGTGTCAAAGACTAATTGGCTGGGTATGTCTACAATTGTTTCTGCATCTTCTGACCTGTTCCATTGGTACTCATGTCTATTATTTTGCCAGTATCATGCTGTTTTTGTCACAATTGCTTTACAGGGTAATTTCAAATCAAGGACTGATTCTCCCTGCCTTGACTTTGTTGTGTAGAATAGGTCTATTATGCATTGAAATAAATTTTATGAATGTTTTCTCTGGTGCTGTAAAATAAGCTAAAGGTATTTTGATTGGGAATGCATTAAATCTGTATAAGTTTTGAAAGTGTGGTCATTTCACTATATTAGTTCGTCCTACCCAGCAGCAAGGGGTATTCTTCCTTTTTCTAATATCCTATTCATCTGCTTGTTTAGAGTACAATAGTGTTCAATGTAGAGGTGCTTTATCTTCTTCATTAAATTGGTTTGTAAGTATTTCAGTTTTTAAAATTATATTGTGAAAGTTGTTTCCTATAAGAAACTTCCTAAATCAGTAGTTTCTTATATGTGTATAGGAATGCTACTGATATTTGAGTCTTTAGTTTATATCCAACTCCTTTACTGAAGCTGATTATTAAATCTATAAGTATTTTTGTAGAGCTTTTAGGATCTTCTATGTAGAATGAAATGTCATCTGCAGAAATGCTAATTTGACTCTTCTCCTTCCTATCTTTATTACTTTTCTTATCTTTTTTATTTTATTGTAAAATAAAAGTAGAGCAGAGTAGAGCAGAGCAAAACAATGCAAATAACACAGGATTTCAGTAAAAGACAGCAGGAAATCAACAGTGGCTACCAAAATGCCTCTTGTTTTCCTCAAAATACTTGTCCATACATTCACACACAATAGATTAATACATGTCAGAATAGTATAAAAGCAATCAAAGCACAAGAATGAGAGCCATAAGGCTTTTCAAGACCAGACACTAGTAAATCAATAATGGCTGCCATAATCTCCTGTTTTCTTCAAAATAGCTGTCCATTCTTCATATATATTGGAATAAAGTTATTAAAAATAGACTAAAATCAATCAAAACCAAGAAGAAATTATTTGCTTTTGAATCAAAATGATGAAAAATCATAAGTGACTACTATTGTGTCTTGTTTTCTTCAGTATAGTTCATATTATCACACATGCTAAAAACAATTCTCATCAAATCTTTAGGTGAAGTTCTAGGCATATATAACCCTATGCATCTATCCATTGTGTATTAGAGGAAAAACAAAAACAATAAATAAATAACTATACCTTAGAACCCAAAACAATAACAATGTAGACTTTGAAAACAAGGTGGTAGGAACATAACAATTTTTGTTGTTTTTCAGTTATCTTTATAAGTCTTATTTACATTACCAGATACAGTCATGCTAAATTGATCTAATCCTACTGATGTTTCTGTTTTTTTCAAGAACTAATAGAATTTAGTACTAAAATCATCTTTGTAATCTTAAGTATATATATATAATATTTATATGAATTTATAACTTATTTTATTATCTTCCTGCTTTTCTTTGTTTCCTTGAGTTACTTTTTCCTCTTCGAGCAGTTTCTTATCCTTTCAAAATATTTATTGAAGATTTTGTATTTTATTTGCTCTTTCAGTTTCTTACACTAAGGAGACAAATGGCATTTACACATGTGAGTTTGATTTATTTCACTTATGAGTATGGGCTCAAGTGGCATGCATTTACATATAAAAGCCTCAATGTGGTCTTTATAGGTGAGTAGTATTCCATTGTATAAAAATACCATGTCTCTTTTATCCATTCCTCAGTTGATGGGCATTTGGGTAGTTTCGAAGATTTAGCTATTATAAATTGTGCTGCTATAAACATGAGTGTACATGTATCACTGTGATATGATGTTTTCAGTTTTTCTGGGAATAGGCCCAGAAGTGGAATAGCTGGATCAAATGGGACTTTCAATCCTAGCCTTTTGAGTACACTCCACATGATTTCCACAGTTATTGCACCACTGTACGCCCTAATCAACAGTGCAGAAGTGTTCCTTTCTCCCCACAGCCTCTCCAGCATTTGCTATTGGTGGCTTTCTTGATCATGGCCATTCTTCCTGGAGTGAAATGGAATCTCAGTGTGGTTTTAATTTGCATTTCTCTAATGAAATTGAATGTTTTTTCTTTTATTTATTTGTCATTTGTATTTCTTCATCTGAGAAGTGTGTATTCAATTCAGATACCCATATTTGGATTGGGTCTTTGAATTTTGGGGGTCTGAGTTTTAAAAATTCTTTATATGTTCTAAATAGAAGTCTTTTGTCTAAGGGACAGTTGACTAAGATTTCTTTCCCAATTCTTGGGCTTTCTTTTCACCCTGTTGAAGATTTCTTTTGATGTGCAAAAACTGTTTAATAAGATGAGATCCCAGTTGTTGATTCTGGGAAATATTTCCTGTGCAGTTTGATTTTTGTTCATGAATTCTCTGCTGACACCTGTCTTGAAGATTTTTACCTGCTTTGTCTTCCAGTTTATTTAGTGTCTCTGTTTGATATTTAGATCTTTGATCCATTTTGACTTTAGTTTAGTACATGGTTATGGGCATGGGTCTACTTTTAGCTTTTGGCATATGGAAAGCAAGTTTCTCCATCACCACTTATCAAGGAGGCTATCTTTCTTCCAGTGAACATATTTGGCTCCTTTGTCAAAGATAAAGTGGCTGAGTGTGTTTATAGTTGTGGTTGTATATTCTAATGTATTCCATTGATCTTCAGGTCTGTTTTTATTCCAGTATCATGCTGATTTTATTACAGTAGCTTTGTAGTATAACTTCAAGTCAGGGATTATGGTGCCTCCTGCTTTGCCTTTGTTGTCTAGAATTGCCTTTGCTATTTTAGGTCTTTTCTAGTTCCAGATAAACTTTAGGAATGATTTTTCTAGATCTGTGAAGTGTGCTAATGGTATTTTAATTGGAATTGCATTAAAACTGTTTACCAACTTTGGGAGAATGACTATTTTCACAATGTTTGTTCTTCCTATCCATTAAGAAGGAATATCATTCTATTTTCTGAGATCCTCTTAGAGTTCTTGTTTTAGAATACTATAATTTTCACTAAATAGCTCTTTCACTTCCTTTGTTAGATTGATTCCTAAGTATTTAGTTTTTTTGGATGCTATTATGGATCATATGGTTTCTCTTATTTACCTCTCAATGAGTTTGTTGTTTGTGTACAGGAATGCTATTGATTTTTGAGTGTTGACTTTGTATCCAGCTATATTACTGAATTTGGTTATTACATCTAGAAGCCTTTCAGTGGAGTTTTGGGTATCTCCTATGTAGAGTATCATGTCATCTGCAATTAATGATAGTTTATCTTCTTTCTTTGCTATCTTTATTCTTTTTATTTCTCTCATCTAATTTCTCTGGCTAATATTTCCAGCACTATGTTAAATAGGAGTTGTGATAGTGGATAGACTTGTCTTGTTTCTGATGTTAGAGTGAAAGAGTTCAGTTTTTGACCGTTTAATATGATGCTGATTATTGGTTTGTTATAGATGGCTCTTATCAAAATGGGGTAAAGACCATTCTTTATGATTTTCCATTAGGTTCCTATCCTGAGTGAGTGTGGATTTATCAAAAGCTTTTTCTGCATCTATTGAGATGATCACATGATTCTTATCTTTGTCTCTATTGATATGATTTATTACACTTATTGATTTGTGTATGTTTAACCATCCCTACATTCCTGGGATGAATCCCACTTGGTCATCGTGTATGATCTTCTTGATGACTTGGTGCATTCTGTTTGCCAGTATTTTATTGAGGATTTTTGCACCTATGTTCATTATGGAGATTGGCCTATAGTTTTCTTTTTTGGTTGGGTCTTTCTCTGGTTTTGGTAATAGGGTGACACTTGCTTCCAGGAATGAGTTAGGAAGAATTGCAAGAGTTTGAAGAGTGTTAGCATTAAGTTTTCCTTGAATTTCTTGTAGAATTCAGCTGTGAATCCATCAGGCCCTGTGCTTTTTATGTTGATAAGGTTCTCATTATATTTCCAATTTCATTAACTGAAATGGAGTTATTAAGTATTTTACATCTACTTGATTCAGCTTTGATAATTCTTATATTTCTAGGAATCTATCCATTTCTTCTTTTTATCAAACTTTGAGAGTAAGTTTTGCAATGTAGGTATTGATGATCTTCATTTCCACAGGAACTGTAGTGATTTCACTCTTCATTTTTACATGAATTTAAGTTTTTTCTTCCTTTTTAAAAAATAAGGTTGGCTAGGAACTTAAAATTTTATTTATTCTTTCAAAGATATAACTCTTTTACTTGTTAATTCTTTGTGCTGTTTATTTAGTCTCAGTCGTGTTAATTTCTGCCCTGATTTTTAATTTCTTCCCTCCTTTTGGCTTTGGGGTTTACTTGCTCTTGTTTGTCTAGATGTTTGAGGTGTAGCATCCAGTTGCTTATTTGTGTTTATTCTGTTTTCCTGATGTAGGAGTTCACTGCAATAAATTTGCCTTTGAAGACTGCTTTCATTGCATCCCACAGGTTCTGGCAAGCTATATTTATATTTTCATTTGCTTGTAGATATTGTTTAATTTCCTCTTTAATTTCTTGTATGAGCCATTGATTGTTCAGGAGTGTGTTTTTTAATTTCCATTTGTGTTTGCAGCTTCTTTTGTCATTAATTTCCAGTTTTATAGCACTATAGTCAGATAATATGCATGGGATAGTGTTCTTTTTCATTTATTTAAGCATGTTCTATCGCCTAGTATATGGTCTATTTTAGAGAATGTTCCATGTGTAGCTGAGAAGAATGTATATTCTGATGTTGTTGGGTGGAATACTCTGTACACATCTGCTAAGTCCACTGGTTCAGAAGTTTCATTCAATTATGTTATTTCTTTTCTGACTTTCTGTCCAGTAAATCTATCTCTTTATGTCAAAGGGGTGTTAAAGTCTCCTGTTATAATTATGTTATTGCTTGTTTATTATTTTTATTAATATTTGTTTTACATTGCTGAGTGCTCCTGTATTTGGTGCATATATATTTAGGGCTGCTGTCTCTTCCTCTTGAAGTTTTCTCTTAACTGACATGTAGTGACCTTCTTTATCTCTTCTGATCATTCTTGGTTTCAACTTCACATTGTCTGCAAACAGCACAGCTATCCCTGCTATTTTTGGAGTTCCTATAGCATGAAGTATTGTTTTCCATCCTTTGTCTTTCAGTCTATGAATTTTCTTTTGGGTTAGGTTGGTTTCTTCTATGCAGCAAATGGTTGAATTTTGTCTCTTGATCCATTCTGCTAGTCTGTTTCTTTTAATGGATACATTGAGGCCATTTACATTAATGGTTATAACATATATATATGGCTCATTTTTGTCATGTATTTTGCATTTCTGCTGTTGATTCTTTACCTTCCATCTCTGTTTAGTAGTCTGGCTTGCTTAATGGCTTCATTCTGTTGGAGTTCTTGGAGTTGTTGCTTTTATGTCTATCTAGTGTATCTTTTAGTATTCTTTGCAGAGTTGGTTTGGTGGTCATGAAATTCTTCAGCTATTCTTTGTCATGGAAGTATCTTATTTCTACTTCAATTTTGGAGGGCAGTTTTGTAGGCTACATCAATCTGGGTTGGAAGTCATTTTCCTTTAGGATTTGAAATACTTCATTCCATGATTTTCTTGACTTCATTGGTTGTGTTGAGAAGTCTGCTGTTGTTCTGATGGGCTTTCCTTTATAGGTGATCTGTCTCTTTTCTATAACAGATTTAATATTCTATTTTTATGTTGAATTTCTGGGATGTTGATTATTGTATGTCTGAGTGTAAATTTATTTTAGTTTTGGCTAATTGGATTTCGATACGCTTCACTTATCTGTATACCAGTTTCCTTTTCCATGTTTGAGAAATTTTCTGCTATTATTTCTGTAAACAGCCTTTGGATATCGTGTGTTGTCACCTTCTTTCTCATTTACGCCTATCAATCTTACAATATTTTTCTTCGCATTGTCTTGAAACTGTTCAATTGTTATTTCCTGGTTCTTTGTTATTTTTATCAGATCTTCCTTTCCTGGTCACTAACTGCAGTCTTCTCTTTGAGGTCTGACGGTCTTATCTTCACATTCATTCATGCAGTTTTGCCAGGTTTCAATGGTATTTTTGATTTCCGGGATGTCGTCTTGAATCTATTTCACATATTCTATTGTTTTCTTATGTTGTTTATGCAAGAATTCCATCTTTTTGTAGCACTCCTTGATTTTTTTAAGCTAAGTCTTCTTTAGATGTGTTCAGCATTTCTTTTATTTTGTTTATCATTTCTTCTTTACCTGGGAAATATTTCTGATCTGAGTTTCTCTATAGCTTGATGGAGATACT